ATCAAAGCCCAGCTCCAGGGGAGAGTTTGGCTCCAGGGGCAGGAGGGCAGCTCCAGCTCCGCGTCCTGCTCCGGGCTGGGCCACTCTTCCTGGGGAAACTGAGGCTGGGATGGGCAGAGCTGCACCTGGACCCCCTGGAATTCCCAGCCTGGCTGGAGTCAGAGCTGGCCCAGGTGTCCTGAGCCTCCCTGGGCTGGAAAGGAGAGTTCATGTCAGGCTGGATTGGGATTTTTAGGGAAAATGAGATGTTGAGCAGCTCCTCTAACAAATATTTTAATGAGCAGCAGCACGTTTGTGAATTTGCTGTGACTTCAGTCTGTCCTGCAGTCTCCCAGCACAGAAAGGAAGGACAATATCAGCCAAATTCCAGCTTTTAGGGGATAAAAAAGTGGGGTAGCTGCAGATTTGGGAGTTTGCTGTCACTTGGATCCATCCTGTGACCTCCCAGGTTTGGAAGGAAGGACAGAATCAGTTCAACTCCAGCTTTTAGGAAAAAAGGGCTGCTGAGCACCTGCTCAGCTCAGAGAGGAAGGACAATATCAGCTGAATTCCAGGTTTTAGGGGATAAAAAAGTGGGGTAGCTGCAGATTTGGGAGTTTGCTGTGACTTGGATCCATTCTGTGACCTCCCAGGTTTGGAAGGAAGGACAGAATCAGTTCAACTCCAGCTTTTAGGAAAAAAGGGCTGCTGAGCACCTGCTCAGCTCAGAGAGGAAGGACAATATCAGCTGAATTCCAGGTTTTAGGGGGAAAAAAGGTGGAGTAGCAGCAGATTTGGGAGTTTGCTGTGACTTGGAGGCAGCCTGTGACCTCCCAGGGTTTGGAAGGAAGGAGAATATCTGGCTGAATTCCACGTTTTTGGGAAAAAAGGGGTGCTGAGCTCCTCCTGTACCAAGTATTTCTATGAGCAGCAGCATATTTGTGATTTTATTGTGGCTTGTGTCCCAGCTGTGACCTCCCAGGGTTCGGAAGGAAGGACAGAACCAGCTCAGTTCCAGGTTTTAGGGGGGAAAGAGGTGGGGTAGCAGCAGATTTGGGAGTTTGCTGTGGCTTGGATCCATCCTGTGACCTCCCAGCTTTTAAAAATGGACAGAACCAGCTGAATTCCAGCTTTTTTGGGGGAAAAAAAAAGGTGGAATAGCAGCAGGTTTGGGATTTATTACAGCTGTGACCTCCTGGGGTTTGAAAGGAAGGAGAGTGTCAGCTGAGTTCCAGGTTTGAGGGGAAAAAAAGGTGGAACAGCAGCAGGTTTGGGATTTATTACAGCTGTGACCTCCTGGGGTTTGAAAGGAAGGAGAGTGTCAGCTGAGTTCCAGGTTTGAGGGGAAAAAAAGGTGGAACAGCAGCAGGTTTGGGAGTTCAGCAGGGCTGGGGTGAGGAGGAGGATGGGGAGGGAGGAAGGAGGGAGGGAGGGAGGTGCTGCTGCCCCCCAGGCTCTGAGCAGCCCCTCCCACAGGGGCTGAACCCCGGCAAAGCCATCGCTGAGATCAAGAAGATGATGGCGACCTACAAGCAGAAGGCAGCGACTGCCTGAGGGCTGAGTGACCCTGAGTGACCCCAGAGTGACCTGGAGTGACCCCAGAGTGACCCCGGAGTGACCTGGAGTGACCCCAGAGTGACCTGGAGTGACCCCACAGTGACCCTCACCCTGTGCTGGGGTTGCTGGGCACCTTCAATAAAGGCTGTAAAGAACAGCTCGGGCTCCATCCTTTATTATTCATTTATTATTCACTTATTATTCATTTATTATTCATTTATTAATTCCCTTCGTGGAGTTTTTGCCATCCCGGGTCTGGGAGCAGCTGGGAGGCTCTGGGAGTCCTGGGAGTGGCTGGGAGCAGGGAAGGGAGGAGGGATCCTGAAATCCCAAACCTGAGGGTTTGGAGCTCCCAGGGGCCAGGATGGGGACAGACCCACCAGGAACGAGGTGTCCTGTCCCACCCCATGGGACCCTGGTTTGTATTCCTGATTTTGAGTCCAAATCCCAGGAAAATGGCATTTTTAGGGGTGGATCTTCCTCTTTTCTCTAAAACAAGTGCATTTGTTTTACCTCCAGACCCCATTCCCCCAGGAGCGAGGTGTCCTGTCCCACCCCATGGGACCCTGGTTTGTATTCCTGATTTTGAGTCCAAATCCTAATAAAATGAGGGATTTTAGGGTTGAATCTTCTTCTTCCCTCTGATATTTTTACCTCCAGATCCCAGTTCCACTAGGAACAAGTTGTTCTCTTTCCACCCTGGGGGCCCTGGTTTGTATTCCTGATTTCTACTCCAAATCCTAAGAAAATGGGATTTTTTAGGGGTGCATCTTCCTTTTCCCTGCTGTTTTACCTGGGGCTGTCTCCAGTTTGGGATGTTTGGAGCAGCTCCAGCTTTGCTGCTGAATTCATGATTTTGGTCTGAGCAGCTCAAACCTCCCAGAAATGGAATGCTGCTCCTGTGAGGTCACAGGGACGGCGCTCCTGGGGTGTCACACCCGGTTTTGGGGTGCAAAACTTCAATTCCCAGAATCCCCCAGGTGCCACACCTGGTTTTGGGGGTATGTACTCCAATTCCCAGCACTCTCACGGTGTCACACCCGGTTTTGGGGGTACAGACTCCAATTCCCGGCATTCTTGGGGTGTCACACCCAGTGGACTCCAATTCCCAGCATTCCCTGGGGTGCCACACCTCTTTTGGGGGTACGGACTCCAATTCCCAGCATCCCCTGGGGTGCCACACCTGGTTTTGGGGTGCAGACTCCAATTCCCAGCATCCCTTGGGGTGCCACACCTGTTTTTGGGGTGTGGACTCCAATTCCCAGCATTCTCAGAATGTCACACCCGGTTTTGGGGTGTGGACTCCAATTCCCAGCATCCCCTGGGGTGCCACACCTGGTTTTGGGGTGCAGACTCCAATTCCCAGCATGCCCCGGGATGCCACACCTGGTTTTGGGGTACAGACTCAATTCCCAGCATTCTCAGGGTGTCACACCTCTTTTGAGGTGCGGACTCCAATTCCCAGCATGCCCCGGGGTGTCACTCCCGGTTTTGGGGTGCAGACTCCAATTCCCAGCATGCCCCGGGGTGTCACTCCCGGTTTCAGGTGCGGACTCCAATTCCCAGCATGCCCCGCCGTTCCGGCCCCGCCCCTTCCGGCGGCGCGCGGGGCCGCGGGGCCGCGCCATGAGCTCAGGTCAGGAACCGGCCCCGGGACCGGGCTCGGGATCGGGGATGGGGTCGGGAGGGGATGAGGGGTCGGGAGCAGGGACCGGGACCCCCGAGTGCCCGGAGCCCCCCGGACCCCCCGAGCGCCGCCGGGGCCGCTCCAGCGCAGCGGGGGCGGGACCGTGCGGCTCCGGTGCCGTTTATCCCCATTTATTGCCGTTTATCCCCATTTATTCCCATGTATTCCCATTTTATCCCCTTTTTTTTCTTTATTATTTTGCCTTTCTTCTAAAATTTTGCTTTTTCTGATTTGCCTATTATGCTTTGTTTATTTTTTTAAATTTTGCTTTATTCTGTTGCCCTTTTTTAAATGTTGTTTTTTTATTTTGCTTTTTTTATTTTGCTTTTTTTTAATTTGCTTTTTTTATTTTGCTTTAATTCTCTTTATTATTCTGCTTTATTTTACTTCATTTCATTTTATTTTGCTTTTTTGCTTCCTTGTTTTGCTTTCATTTGTGGCTTGTTTTTTTACTTTCAGGTTTTTATTTTATATTTGGCATTATTTTGCTGTAGTTTTGTTTCCTAACTTTGTTTTTCTGCTTTTTAATTGTGCTTTATTTTACTTTCTCTCTTTGCTTTGTTAGTTTTTTCACTTCATTTCTCTTTATTATTTTCCTTTATTTTGTTTTTTTGTTTTCGTTTTTCTCCTTTTTTTATTTTTGTTTTTTATCTTCTGCTTTGTTTCGCTTTTTTAATTCCATTCCTCTTTTATTTCGCTTTATTTTGCTTTTTTATTTTGTTCTGTTTCTCTTTTATTTCGCTTTATTGGGCTTCACTTCCCTTTTTTATTTTGCTCCACTTCCCTTTTTATTTCGCTTTATTTCCCTGTTTTATTTTGCTTTATTTCCCATTTTTATCCCACTTTCTTTCCTGGCTGCTCTCCCATCCCGGCACCTCCTGGCTCTGCATTCTTTGGGAATTCCAGCCCTGGATCCGAGGGGAAGGAATTGTGGGAAGGGCTGTGGGGTGCTCCAAACCCCAAACCCTCCTAACCCCAAAACTCCAAACCCCAAACTCTCCAATCCCCCAAACCCTCCAAACCCAAACTCCCAAAACCCCCAAACTCCAAATCCCAAACCCCTCAAACCCCAAACCGTCCAAACCCCAAAACCCCCAACCCCAAACCCCCCAAACCCCAAATCATCCAAATCCTTCAAACCCCAAACTCCTGAAACCCTCTAAACCCCAAAACCCCCAAACTGTCCAAATCCCAAACCTCCCATACCCCAAACTGTCCAAACCCCAAATCCTTCAAACCCCAAACTGTCCAAACCGCAAAACCCCCAACCCTTCCTAACCCCCCAAAACCCTCCAAACCCCAAACTCTCCAAACCCCCCAAATCCCAAAGCCCCCAAACCCTTCAAATTCTCCAAACCCCAGACTCCAAAGCCCCCAAACCATCCAAATCCTTCAAACCCCAAGTGCCCTCAAACCCCCCAAACCCCAAACTCTCCAAACCCCCCAAACCCCAAGTGCCCCCCAAACTCTCCAAACCCCACCGCGGATCCCCTCAGCCCTCCCAGAGCTCCTTCCCACCGGTGGATCCCACCCAGAATTCGGGAACGCTCCCTCTCCCGTGGGGATCCTGGAGAACGGGGTGGGGTTTGGGGTCGGAAGGACCCTTTTCCCCTCAGATCCCCTCCCGGAGCAATCCCAGGGTGTTTTTCATGAACACAGGCGTGGTGCAGGGTGGGAAGGGGGCACCCGGGGTTCGGGATCCTTCCAGGGCTCCCGGCCGGGATTCCCGTTCCCGGGAACGCGGGAGCGGCGCTGCCGAGCGATCTTCACCGGGCAGGGGGGACACCCCTGGGTGCTCTGGGAGTTCCATCCCTGTGGTGATCCCGCCCGGATCCCCTGGGATCCCCCTCGCCCACCCCAATCCCAGTCCCAATCCCAATCTGCAGCCGAGCAGCGCTCAGGGGTCAAAGCTCCCCCTTTTTTCCCTGAGTTCCTCATTTAAGGATTGCTGGAGATGTTCCCCCCGGTTCCTCACTTCCCATCGGGAATGCCGGGAGCGCAGCCCCTCCTCCTAAGGGAGGGAGGAGCCCTCATTTCCCCGGAATTGGGGGAAATGTGGGGTTGGGCTGTAACCCCGCTGTTTTCCCGCTCACACCGCGGTGTTCCCCAAGCCGGGATGTTCCTGGCACTTCCCTCCAGACTGGCAGCTGGGTTTGGGTGCCAGGGAGGATCCCCGTGTGCCAGAAGGGTTGGAATGCCGGGATCTCGGCTGGCATCACCCGCACGTGGCACAGCCCCGCTCCCCAGAGGAGCTCTCCAAAAACCCAAATCAACCGGTGCAGGCGGACGGGGCTGCTGGGAATTCCCAGGAGTTTGTTCCTCAGCTGCCTCCAGGGTTTGATGCCCAAGCGTGGATTTCCCAGCACTGGGGAGTCCCAATCCTGGTTTTCCACGTCCCCACCTTGGATCAGGCCCGTCTCAGCCTTTGTTCCTCCAGCCTTGGGCTGTTTTTCCAGGAGGACCCGACCGCCTGGTCAGATGAGTTTGCTCTGGCAGCTCAGGATCGGTGTGTGGGATCCATGGGAAGGGCAGAGTGTCCTGTCTGACTGGGATTGCTGTGTGGGATCCATGGGAAGGGCAGCGTGTCCTGTCTGACTGGGATGGGTTCCTGTGGGATCCATGGGAAGGGCAGCGTGTCCCTGTCCGGCTGGGATGGGTTCCTGTGGGATCCATGGGAAGGGCAGCATGTCCCTGTCTGGCTGGGATTGCTGTGTGGGATCCATGGGAAGGGCAGCGCGTCCCTGTCCAGCTGGGATTGCTGTGTGGGATCCATGGGAAGGGCAGCATGTCCCTCTCCAGCTGGGATTGCTGTGTGGATTCCATGGGAAGGGCCCCATATCCCTGTCTGGCTGGGATGGGTTCCTCAGGGATCCATGGGAAGGGCAGGAGAGTCACCAGGATCTCAGCCCGACCCTGTGCTCGGCCACAGGATCTCCCATCCCGAAGCTGAAGGCTCTGGAAGATCCTCCTGGGTTCAGTCTCACCTTCCGTGATCCAGACGCTTCCTTACATTGTCTCTCCTTCCCGGATTTTGCCTTATCCTGATTTTCCGTGTCCCCATCAGTGGTTGGAACGGAAACTTCCTTGGATGGAGCTTCCTGATCTCGTGTGCAGCTTCCAGCCGGGATGGATGGATGGATGATGGATGGATGGATGGGGGATGGATGGATGGATGGGGGATGGATGGATGGATGGGGGATGGATGGATGGATGGGGGATGGATGGATGGATGGGGGATGGATGGATGGATGGGGGATGGATGGATGGATGGGGGATGGATGGATGGATGGGGGATGGATGGATGGATGGGGGATGGATGGATGGATGGGGGATGGATGGATGGATGGGGGATGGATGGATGGATGGGGGATGGATGGATGGATGGGGGATGGATGGATGGATGGGGGATGGATGGATGGATGGGGGATGGATGGATGGATGGGGGATGGATGGATGGATGGGGGATGGATGGATGGATGGGGGATGGATGGATGGATGGGGGATGGATGGATGGATGGGGGATGGATGGATGGATGGGGGATGGATGGATGGATGGGGGATGGATGGATGGATGGGGGATGGATGGATGGATGGGGGATGGATGGATGGATGGGGGATGGATGGATGGATGGGGGATGGATGGATGGATGGGGGATGGATGGATGATGGATGGATGGATGGATGGACGGACGGACGGTGCTGCCCAGGGACCATCCAGCAGGAGCCATGGGAGCAGCAGGAGGTCTCCAGGCCCCCGTGGGGTTTGTTTGCTTCCTGAAAAGGGCTCGGGAAGGGCCAGGGCTGCCCAGGGAAGCTGATGGAGAAGTCTCTGGGAGCAGCATCCATCTGTTTTGTGTGTCACCTCTGCTGGGGAGGGGGCTGGCTCTCGCATCCAAATCCTGGGACAAGGGCCTGGCATTCCCAGCTGATCCCCAGCCAGGTCTTGGATCCCAATCCCATCCCGGCTTCCAGCTCTGCGCTCCGGAGTCCGGGGGTTCACGCCCCCTGCCAGTGGCTGTGGGAGCATCCAGAGCAGCCTCTTCCCAAATTTCCACCCGAGAGGACAGGACAGGGCCCGGACTCGGAGCCAGGCAGCTGCAGGGAATTCCAGGTGGGATTTTGGCCGTGCACATCCATCATCAGTGCGGGATCTTGGCTCCCGTCTTCCCCGGACCAGCGGGGCCGGTGCGTCCTGACCCCTCTCCGGGATTCCAGCCTCTCCTGGCCCTTATTCTCCTCCTCATCCGTGTTTTTCGGGAGAGGGAAGCAGAGAGCAGAGCTCTGTGCAGGGCTCCGGGGAAATTCCCGGGATCCGGAGGCGGAGAAGGGATATCCAGGAGCCCCCGCGCCGTGTTTGCCGACAAGGAGTGGCCTCGGTGCCGGGACTGCGGCGGCTCCGCTCCGGATCTGCCCGGCCACGGCCGCGGGGATGGCGGCGCTGCCGGTCCCAGCCCGGCCGATCCCATCCTGACCGATCCCACCCTTCCCGATCCCACCCTGACCGATCCCATCCTGACCGATCCCTCCCTTCCCGACCCCACCCTGACCGATCCCACAGTCCCCGGGTGGCTCCGCCGGCGCTCCCGGCAGGATGAGGCGGGGTGAGTCTGTGCCGGGGCTTCTCCTCACCTGCCGAGCTTTGGGAGCAGCCGGGATGGGAGCGGGAGTGGGAGGAATTCCCCGGGACGGGGCTGTGCGGAGCCGCTTGGTTCCTCCCAAGGATTTGTTGCTTTAGGATCGAGGAGAGCCGGGATAGTTCCGTTCAGGAGAGGGGCAGGCCGGGCTTCCCATTGCCCAGAGGCTTGGGGAAGGGAACTGGGCCGGTTTCAGGTTGTTTGGACACTTTTCCACCTCCTGCAGATCGCGGGAAAAGCCCTCGTGCATGACCCTGTCCTTGGCAAGGGCAGCACTGCGGGCGTCCCTGCAGCTGGAATTCCAGCTTTTTGCAGAATTTGAGGCTGGCACTGGGGACAGCTGACCCCTCCCTTCCTTTTCTTGGCTCCTTTGTGTTACTGAACCGTCCCTCAGGCTCATCCCCCAATTCCTCCCCTCCAAATTTATCCCATGGAGCGACACCGGCTGCAGGAGCTGGAGATGGATCCCCTCTCCACCGGGATCACCAAAACCAGGGAATGGTTTTAATGAATGGCTTTCATTCCCTGCAGAGGAGCTTTGGGGTGGACAGGGAGCAGCAGGAATCCAGCCGGGGCGGTTTTTCCAGTGTAAATCCTTGAGCTGGTCTTGGTGCCCTCCTGGAAACCCAACCCCAGCCCAGGCAGGAAATATCCACGTGTTCCAGGAGCAGGAACAGTTCCCAGCTCCGTGCTTGTGCCTCTGCCACGTGTTGCCTCCCCACTGCTGCTCTGAGATCCCAGCCTTGGGAATGCTGTGATCATAATCCATGCTGGATTTAGGGAATGAGCAGGCTCAGTGACTCCTGATCCATCCTGGATTTAGGGAATGAGCAGGCTCAGTGACTCCTGATCCATCCTGGATTTGGGGAATGAGCAGGATTGGTGACTCCTGATCCATGCTGGATTTAGGGAATGAGCAGGCTCGGTGACTCCTGATCCATCCTGGATTTGGGGAATGAGCAGATCGGTGACTCCTGATCCATCCTGGATTTGGGGAATGAGCAGATCGGTGACTCCTGATCCATGCTGGATTTAGGGAACGAGCAGGCTCGGTGACTCCTGATCCATGCTGGATTTAGGGAATGAGCAGGATCGGTGACTGCTGATCCATGCTGGATTTGGGGAATGAGCAGGCTCAGTGATTCCTGATCCATCCTGGATTTAGGGAATGAGCAGGATTGGTGACTCCTGATCCATCCTGGATTTAGGGAACGAGCAGGATCAGCGACTCCTGATCCATCCTGGATTCAGGGAACGAGCAGGATCGGTGACTCCTGATCCATCCTGGATCTGGGGAATGAGCAGGCTCGGTGACTCCTGATCCATGCTGGATTTAGGGAATGAGCAGGATCAGTGACTCCTGATCCATGCTGGATTTAGGGAATGAGCAGTCTCGGTAACTCCTGATCCATGCTGGATTTGGGGAATGAGCAGGATCGGTGACTCCTGATCCATGCTGGATTTGGGGAATGAGTAGGATTGGTGACTCCTGATCCATGCTGGATTTAGGGAATGAGCAGGACCGGTGACTCCTGATCCATGCTGGATTTAGGGAATGAGCAGTTCAGCTTCAGGCACGGAGGGTGATGGTTGAGATCGCACCTGGGGGGATCCCAGGGATGATCCCTGATCCCTGGGCTTTGGGGTGCAGCGGAGCCCGACGGGAATCAGCATGGTTGAAACTGGGAAATGTCGATTTTTTGGCAGCCAGGAGCAAACCCAGGGAGCAAACAAGGAGCAAACGAGCTGGAAAAGTGGCAGGCAGAGCTGGCCTGGCTCCGGCCAACCCTGCTCCCTTCCCGTGCCCGCTGGGCTCCTGGGATAACGCCAGAAATCCCGGGGCTGCTCCGGCGTCGTCCCCGTGACCGTCACGTGCCCGGGAGGATGAGGAGGCAGCGATCCTGGCTGGATGGGCCGGGAGCCACCGCGTCCTCCCGGGGTGAGCAGCCCCTCTGCTGACCCTCTCCGTGTCTCTGGTGGATTTGCAGACAGCAGCCGGCTGCTGGGGGCCCGGCGCCCGGGCTACGGGACGCTGCAGCCGGACACGGACCCGGCCCACATGGTAGGTCTGGCCTGGGGGGTCTCCCACACCATCCCTGGGCTTCCCACGCCCCCAGCTGCTGCTTTTCCAGCCCCTTGGTTTTCCCTGCCCCTTCCCTGGGGCTCGGCCGCGCCGGGATTTTGGGGGTTCGGGATTTAATGGTTGGTAATTGATTTTAGCTGATTTTATGTCTGAGCAGCCGGGTGCAGGTGATTGATTCCTGGTGATTCCTGGTGATTGATCCCCAGTGATTGGTTCCAGTGATTCCTGGTGATTGATCCCCAGTGATCCCCAGTGATTGATTCCCAGTGATCGATTCCCAGTCATTCCGTGATCGAGTCCCAGTGATCCCCAGTGATGCATTCCCAGTGATTGATTCCCAGTCATTCCCAGTGATTGATTCCCAGTGACCAATTCATGGTGATCCCCAGTGGTCCCCAGTGGTTCCCAGTGATCCCCAGTGATTCATTCCCAGTGATCCCCAGTGATGCATTCCCAGTGATTGATTCCCAGTGACCAATTCACGGTGATCCCCAGTGATCCCCAGTATCCCCAGTGGTCCCCAGTGATTCCCAGTGATCCCCAGTGATTCCCAATGGCTCCCAGTGATCCCCAGTGGTTCCCAGTGGTTCCCAGTGATCCCCAGTGGTCCCCAGTATCCCAGTGATCCCCAGTGGTCCCCAGTGATTCCTAGTGGTTCCCAGTGATCCCCAGTGATCCCCAGTGGTCCCCAGTGATCCCCAGTGGTCCCCAGTGATTCCCAGTGGTTCCCAATGGTCCCCAGTGATCCCCAGTGATCCCCAGTGATTCCCAGTGATCCCCAGTGGTCCCCAGTGGTCCCCAGTGTCCCCAGTGGTCCCCTGTCCCGCAGGAGGTGACGGGCTACCAGCGCAGGACGTGGCGGGTGCTGCTGTGCCACGCGGGCTCCGTGCTGAGCGCGGGGCTGCTCCTGCTGCTCTTCCACTGGAAGCCCAGCCTGGAGGTGCAGGCCAAGTGCCAGCCCTGTGCCCTGGGCCAGGCGGACTGGGTCATCATCAGGGTGAGTCCCATGGAGCCTGGGAGCTGGGAGCGGGTCTGGGGGCGCTTCTGGGAAGTCTGGATTGGATTCTGAGGGTCTGGGTGGGATTCTGTGGGTTAGGAGTTGGATTCTGTGGAACTGGGGTGGATTCTGTGGATTGGGAGTTGAATTCTGTGGATCCAGAGTTGGGCTCTGTGGATCCAGGGTTGGATTCTGTGGATCTGGGGTTGGATTCTGTGGATCCGGGGTTGGATTCTGTGGATCCAGGGTTGGATTCTGTGGATTGGGAGATGGTTTCTGTGGATACAGAGTTGGGCTCTGTGGATTTGAGGTTGGATTCTGTGGGTCTGGAGTTGATTCTGTGGATCCAGGCTTGGGCTCTGTGGATCCAGGCTTGGATAGGGTTGGATTCTGTGGATCCAGAATTGGGCTCTGTGGATTTGATATTGGATTCTGTGGATCTGGGGGTGGATTCTGTGGATCCAGGGTTGGATTCTGTGGATTGGGAGATGGTTTCTGTGGATACAGAGTTGGGCTCTGTGGATTTGAGGTTGGATTCTGTGGGTCTGGAGTTGATTCTGTGGATCCAGGCTTGGGCTCTGTGGATCCAGGCTTGGGGTGTGTGAGTCTGGGGTTGGATTCTGTGGACTGGGAGTTAGATTTTGTGGATCTGGGATTGGGCTCTGCCCCAGGTTCCCAAGAGGACCCTGTGAATATTCTCTCTCCTTGTCCTCCTGCCTGTGTCTGATATCTCCTTTCCTCAAGCACCAGATTATTCCAGAAATTTATTACCATTATTATTATAATTCCTAGAATTGTCCCATTCCAGAATCATTATTATTCCTAAAATAACTCCACGTTTCCCCTTCCATCCCAGCCTGATGGTTTGGAATTTCTTTTCATTGTCCCCAGACCTCATCCCCCACTCGGGATGGGTGGCCAGGGCCTTCCTGGGTTCTGGAAGGAGCTGGGAACACTCCAGGCATTCCCAGTTTCCCCTGCCAGCCCATCCCTGTGTTTCAGGACCGTTTTGGGCAGTGCTTCACCACCAAGGTGCTGACGGAGCCGCTGGGCGAGGCCAGGTGAGCCGGGCTCTGTCCCTGCGGGGTCCGAGCCACCCCTGGCTCTGGGGAGGGTGGCTGGGCCTGGATGTCCCTGAGGGAGGGTGGCTGAGCCCAGGTGTCCCTGATGGAGGGGTGGCAGGCCATGGGTGAGCTCCGATGTCCCCGAGGGAGGGTGGCAGGCCATGGGTGAGCTCTGATGTCCCTGAGGGAGGGTGGCAGGCCGGGGCTGAGCCCAGGTGTCCCCAAGGGAGGGTGGCAGGCCATGGCTGGGCCCAGGTGTCCCCTGGCCCTGAGTGAAGTTGACAGGCCAGGGCTGAGCCTGGGCATCCCTGAGGGAGGGTGGCAGGCCATGGCTGGGCCCCGATGTCCCCGAGGGAGGGTGGCAGGCCATGGCTGAGCCCCGATGTCCCCAAGGGAGGGTGGCAGGCAATGGCTGAACCTGGGTGTCCCCGAGGGAGGGTGGCAGGCCATGGCTGGGCCCCGATGTCCCCGAGGGAGGGTGGCAGGCCATGGCTGAGCCCCGATGTCCCCAAGGGAGGGTGGCAGGCCATGGCTGAGCCTGGGCATCCCTGAGGGAGGGTGGCAGGCCATGGCTGGGCCCCGATGTCCCCGAGGGAGGGTGGCAGGCCATGGCTGGGCCCCGATGTCCCCGAGGGAGGGTGGCAGGCCATGGCTGAGCCCTGATGTCCCCGAGGGAGGGTGGCAGGCCATGGCTGAGCCCAGCTCCCCCAGCAGCCTGGAGCAGCACCCCGGGGCCCAGCCGGAGCGCAGGAGCAGCGTGGCCGTGGCAGTGCCGGACGAGGAGGAGAGCCGTGACACCGTGCGGCTGCACGACAAGGACGAGGTGGCACCGGGACCTTCCCCACCCCCAAGGCCTGTCCCTGTCTCTGGACACCCCACTCACGCCTCGTTTCCCTGTCCGTGTCCAGCAGAAGAACCTCCTGAGGTATTACCTGTTCCAGGGAATGCGCTACGTGTGGCTGGAGCGGCGGCAGGCCTTCTGCAGAGTCAGGTACTCCCAGAGACCGCCATTCCTGCTCCCTCAGCTCCCTCAGGATCCTCCTGGGTTCTCCTGGATCCCAGCGTTCCCAGCTCCCTCAGGATCCTCCTGGATCCTGGCATTCCCAGCTCCCTCAGGATCCTCCTGGGTTCTCCTGGATCCTGGCGTTCCCAGCTCCCTCAGGATCCTCCTGGATCCTGGCATTCCCAGCTCCCTCAGGATCCTCCTGGGTTCTCCTGGATCCTGGCATTCCCAGCTCCCTCAGGATCCTCCTGGGTTCTCCTGGATCCTGGCATTCCCAGCTCTCTCAGGATCCTCCTGGATCCTGGCGTTCCCAGCTCCCTCAGCATCCTCCCGCCCCCGGCATTCCCAGCACCTCCCGTCCTTTCGTGCCTTATCGGGTCTCTCTAAAAACATAGGCCAGGCCAAAATAAAGGAATAAAATCACTTGTGTTTTTTGAAGGCCTTCAGGTACATTCTGGGCAGACAAAACCCTCCCTCAGGGGCCGCACCCAAAAATGGACCACAGGGTTTTCACACTTTTATAACTTTGGTTCATTTGCATATTGGGGATTAATCCTCCAATTACAGCTTCAGGTAATGAAGTCATTTACCCCAAGTTTGCTCCCCCAGCTCCCTTTTGTTTAATCTCTCGGGGCCTGAGGCAGTGAGGTGTCCTTGATTGCCAGGCCTGGAGAGGAATTGCTGTGTCTGCCCAAACGGGAGAACAGCAGCTGCCACTGCGTGTGGAGTTCAGAGTTCTGCACTAAAGAACTGCAGGGTCACAAATACACAGAAAATACAAAAGCTCAAACCCTGAGGCATCACCCTCAGCGCTCCTGGGCCTCGGGAGCCATCCCTGGTGCCCTCGGGGTGCTCCCGGGCACGGGGAACCGGCCGGGATGGTTTGGCAGGGCCGGACGCTCCCGGCTCTCAGACTGTGCCCCTTTTGTTGCCTTCCCTTGGCAGCCGTGGGCCGCAGAGAGGCCAAGGAACAGGGCACTCTCCCTTTCCAAAGGGGTGGGTTTGTCCCGAGCCCTTGGCCGTGCTGTTTGTTCCGCCCTTCCCGCTGGGCCTGACTCTCTCCCTGTTGTTCTTTGCTGCCCAGCGTCCTGGACGAGGGCTGGACCTGCGCAGAGCTGCACCTGTGCCGGGCCGGGCTGGAGCAGCAGGAGCACGGCGCCAGGTGGGGGCTGGCAGCCTCCCGGGGCTTTTCCAGGGAGCAGGAAATCCCGGAGCCTCAGACCCCAAACTGCCGGGCGGGATGGAATTCCTGGGATTGGCTTCTCCGCAGAACCCAGCTCCTCGTGGGGGTCTGGGCAGCACGAAGGGCCCTAGGGCTGGAAATGCAGCTTTTCCCAAGGATCAAACCCCTTCCCTCTTTTCCCAAGGATAAAACTCCTTCCCTCTTTTCCCAAGATGAAACTCCTTCCCTCTTTTCCCAAGGACAGAACTACTTCCCTCTTTTCCTAAGGGTGAAATTCCTTCCCTTTCTTTTCCCGATGATCAAATTCTCCTTTCCCAAGGATCAAATTACTTCCCTCTCTTTTCCCAAGGATAAAATTCTCTTTTCCCAAAATTAAAACTCCTTCCCTCTTTTGCCAAGGATGAAATTAGTTCCCTCTTTTCCCAAGGATCAAGCTCCTTCCCTCTCCTTTCCCAAGGTTAAAATTCCTTCTCTTCCCTTTCCCAAGGATAAAACTCCTTCCCTCTCTTTTCCCATGGTTAAAACTCCTTCCCTCTCCTTCCCAAGGATAACATTCCCTCGCTGTCCTTCCCCCCTCAGGAGGAAGATCTACGGCCCCAACCTCATCGAGGTGCCCGTCAAGTCCTATGCCAGGCTCCTGGTGGAGGAGGTGGGTTCCAGGCTGGGCTTCCCAAGTGGATTTTCCCAGGACAGATCCTTCCCCTCCTCCCTGTCCCTCTCTGGAAGTGCTTCCCAGCCCTTGGGAAGGGAAGGGAGGAGAGGATGTGGGGAGAAGACAGAGCTGTGGAGGGGACCCTTCCTGACCCTCTGGGCTCAGACAGGAGCAGCCCCTGGGGGTGGTGGAGGTGCCTGAGGGTCTCAGGAGCAGCATCCCTAGGGAATTCCATGGTGGATGGAGGGTTTGGGGGCTGCCAGCCCCAGGGAAGGGCTGGATTCTCTTCTTCATCCAGGAGCCTGGAAGGCTCACGATGGGCTGGAGGAAGCTTTACTTCCTCCAAGGAGCCTGGAGAAATTTCTCCCACCTGGAAATCCCATACTGGGATGGAGGAAGCTCTGCCCATTTCCAGGAACCTGGAAATTGCACGATAGGATGGAGAAAGCTCTCTCCGCTTCCAGGAGCCTGGAGATTCCATACTGGGCAAGAGGAAGCTCTCCTCATTTCCACAGAACCTGGAAATCCCATACTGGGCAGGGGAAGCTGTCCCCCATTTCCAGGAACCTGGAAATCCCATGATGGGCTGGAGGAGGTTCTCCCACCCTGAGGAACCTGGAAATCCCATGATGGGCTGGGGGAGGTTCTCCCACCCTGAGGAACCTGGAAATCCCATGATGGGCTGGGGGAGGTTCTCCCACCCCAGGAACATGGAAATCCCATGATGGGCTGGAGGAGGTTCTCCCACCGGAGAGGGAGGTCTCCCAGTGAGTTCCCAGACCTGTTTTTCTCCTTGTTGCAGGTTCTCAACCCCTTCTACCTGTTCCAAGTGCTCAGCATGGTGCTGTGGGTGTGTGATGCCTATTACTACTACGCCGCCTGCATCTTCCTCATCTCCACCTTCTCGCTGGGGCTGTCGCTCTACGAGACGCGCAAGGTGGGTGGGGGCAGCTCCTCTGGGGCCACAGCCCCGCGGAACAGCCCCGCTCCGGGTGGGGACAGCCCTCTCCCAGGTCTCCCTGTCCTCTGTCCCTGCTTCCGAGCCCCCCAGGCTGTTTTTAGGGATGGTTTCCCGTGTTTTGGGTGGGTTCTGATCTCTGCCTCCCTCCCAGCAAAGCACCACGCTGCGGAACATGGCCAGGATGTCCATGGGGGTCCGGGTCCGGCGGCCCGGAGGAGGTGAGAGGGAGGATTTTTGGGATGGTGGTTGGGACAATGTGTCCTTTGGGATCCTGGTTTTGCCCCAAAGTAGTGTTGGGATAGGTGGGAGTGATGTTGGGATGCACTGGAATAATGTTATTGTACATGGGAATAATTTATGAGACACCAGAGTAATGTTGGGATGTGTGGGAATAGTGTTGGGATACATGGGAATAACGTTGGGATACACAGGAATAATGCTGGGATACACAGGAATAATGTTGAGATATATGGGAATAATGTTGGGATACATAGGGATTACCTTATGGTATATGGGAATAATGTTATTATACATGGGAATAATGTTATGAAGCACCAGAGTAATGTTGGGATGTGTGGGAATAGTATTGGGATACACACGAATAATGTTGTGATACCTGGGAATAATGTTATTATGCATGGGAATAATGTTATGAGACACCAGAATAATGTTGGGATGTGTGGGAATAATGTTGGGATACATGGCAATAACAATATATGGGAATAATTTTATAAGATAGAAATTATGTTGGGATACATGGGAATAACAATATGATATATGGGAATAACGTTATTATATGTGGGAGTAATGTTGGGATACACGGGAATAATCTTATGAGGCACAGGAATAATTTTGGGGTCCAATGAGTAAAAGATGCCTCTGCCCAAATGCAGACAAGACCATATTCCAAAGTCAATATGGATTTAATTTAACAGGGGATTTCAGGGGAAGAGAGAGAGAAATTGATTACAAGGATAATCCCCCCATGAATCCCTGCCCTGTCACCAGCCCTTTTCCTCCTGCTTTTCCCAGTGCTGGGAACCCCTGGGGTTCCTCTGGTGGTTCCATTTGTCACACAGCCCGAATCTTGGCTGTCCACTGGTGTTTGTGCCATTCCCGGTGCTCAGGATGGTTGGGAATTACGGTCTGGATTAGCTCTCCTGAGGTCTGGCACCTCCCTACTGGGAATTCTGGTCTGGATCAGCTCTCCCCAGGCCTGGATCTCAATTTTCCATCTCCAGGGGATTAACCCCTTCCTATTCGCTGCCTTATCCCATGGAGATTCCTTCCCTGGTGCCCCCCATTCCCCAAGCCCTGAGCAGGTTCTCCAGGTGCCTGGAGATGAGTTCCGCCATTCCCCAATCCCTGAGGGGATTCTCCAGGTGTCTGGAGATGAGTGTGACCCCATTCCCCAATTCCTAAGGGGGTTCTCCAGGAGTCTGGAGATGAGTGTGACCCCATTCCCCAATTCCTAAGGGGGTTCTCCAGGAGTCTGGAGATGAGTGTGACCCCATTCCCCAATCCCTGAGCGGGTTCTCCAAGTGTCAGGAGATGAGTGCCCCATTCCCCAATCCCTGAGCGGGTTCTCCAGGTGTCTGGAAATGAGTGCCCTGTTCCCCAAGCCCTAAGGGGGGGTTTTCCAGGTGTCAGGAGATGAGTAGATGAGTGCCCCATACCCCAGTCCCTGAGCGGGTTCTCCAGGTGTCAGGAGATCAGTTCCCTCATTCCCCAGGCCCTGAGCAGGGTTGTTTTCCAGAGGAGCTGGTGGTCAGCTCAGCAGAGCTGGTGCCTGGGGACTGCATCCGGCTGCCGGCGGCCGGGGCGCTGCTGCCGTGCGACGCCACGCTGCTGACGGGCGAGTGCATGGTCAACGAGAGCCTGCTGACCGGTGAGAGCCCTTCCCGCACTGGGCTGCCTGCCTGGAGCAGAGGCCAGGCAGGGGTTAAGGGGATAAAGTGGGTATTCATTGAAGGTCTTCCATGGATACACCTTGGGCAGTCAGGAGCTTCCAAGGCTACACCCAAAATGGACAATGGGCACGGGTTTTTCAGACAATTATAAATTTTGAACCCCATTTACATATCAGGGGTTAATGCTCCAATTACAGCTTCAGGTAATGAAGTCATTTACCCCCAGTTTGCTGCCCCCAACTCATTTTGTTTATACTTTTCGAGGCCTGAGGCTGGAGGGTGTCCTTGAGTTCCAGGTCCAGAGGAATTGTTGTGTCTGACCAGAAGGTGAGAGCAGCAGCTGACAGAACAGGCTGTGGAGTTTAGAGTTAGGCACTAATGCAGCACAGGAGCTGAAAAATACAAAAGCTAAAATCCTAGGCATCACATTCCCATGGGATTCAGTCAGAGCCGCCTTCCCACCCCGGCCTGCTGGCCCCTGACCCCCTGGGGTGACAGTCCCCCTCTGGAATGTTCTGGGCAGGGGAGAGCGTGCCGGTGATGAAGACGCCGCTGCCGGCGGGCGGAGCCGCGTACTGCCCCGAGGAGCACCGGCGGCACACGCTGTTCTGCGGGACACAGGTCATCCAGGCCAAGGCCTACGTGGGCGGGGAGGTGCTGGCCGTGGTCACCCGCACAGGTGAGGGCGTGGGGGATAATCCAGGATGAGTCCTGGGATGAATCCGTGCCCTTGGGAGCGGTGCCATGGTGACCTCCTGCCTGTGCCACAGGGTTCTGCACAGCCAAGGGGGACCTCATCAGCTCCATCCTCTACCCCAAACCCGTGAGCTTCAAGTTCTACAAGGATGCTGTGAAGTTTGTGCTGTTCCTCGCCGTCCTGGGTAGGTCTGGGCCTGGAGGCACATCCTGGAGCAGCCAGATTCCTTGGAATGGAATTCCATTCCAGCTCCCTGCTGTGCCCTGCTTTGTAACCGAGCCCCTTCTCCCCCGCACAGCTCTCATCGGCACCTTGTACAGCATCCTCATCCTGGTTAGGAACCAGGTAGGGCTGGAGGAGCGAGCGGGAGAGCCCGCAGGGATCCATCCGGGGAGGGATGCCCACCCCTGTTCCTCCTCCTCCCCTCCCAGGTCCCCGTGGGACAAATCATCATCCGTGCCCTGGACCTGGTCACCGTCATCGTGCCGCCAGCGCTGCCGGCCGCCATGACCGTGGGCACCATCTACGCCCAGAACCGGCTGAAGAAACAGGGAATCTTCTGCATCAGCCCCCCGCGGATCAACCTGTGCGGGAAGATCCGCCTGGTGTGCTTCGACAAGGTGAGGCGGGCCGGGCGGGCGGGCCGGGCGGGCGCCGGGGCTGCCCGTGCCCACCGCGCTGTGCCCGCAGACCGGGACGCTGACCCACGAGGGGCTGGACGTGTGGGGCGTGGTGCCCCTGGAGCAGCAGCGCTTCCTGCCCATCGTGCACGAGCCCCGCTGCCTGCCCGCCGGCGCCCTGCTCTACGCCCTGGCCTCCTGCCACGCCGTGTCACCGCTGCGGGGACAGCTCGTCGGGGACCCCGTGGACATCAAAATGCTGGAATCCACCGGCTGGGTGAGGCGGGAGCTGCGGGGCTGGAGAGGGGGGCGTTGGGAATCTCAGCGGTTCTGGGCCCTCTGTGGGTAGAGGAGCTCGGCAGGGTTTTGCCCTCTCGGTTTCAGCGCCTGGAGATGATGGAGGAGGAGGAGGAAGGGGAGCTCCCTGCGTTCCAGCAGTTTGAGATGAAGGTCTTGGCCGTGGTGAAACCTCCGCCGGAGGAGGAGCAGCCTCGGGACAGGGTAACCCCATGGAACAGCTCCCCACCCTCCTGCCTCCTGGAGGAATTCCTGTCCGGCCCTCATCTCACCTGCTTTCCACAGAGGCACCAGGCCCCCCTGGGGATCCTGCGGCGTTTCCCGTTCTCCTCCTCCCTCCAGAGGATGAGCGTCCTGGTCAAGCTGCCAGGGGAGGCCTCAGCCCACGCCTACGTCAAGGGTGCCCCTGAGATGGTGGCCAGTCTGTGCAGGAAGGAAACTGGTTGGTACTGGGAGGTGGGCTCACCCCCAAACCCGCTGGCTGCATCCCTGAGGCTCATCCCCCAGGGAATGATCCTCAGGAACACTGAGGCAGCTCCCAAAGGCTTTGGGGTGGCTCCAGCCACAGGAGGGAAAGGAAACAGGGGCCAGAAGATGGAAATGGGGTTGGGGGCTTCTTCCAGCCCAGTATGGGATCCTCCCCCTGAGGAGCAGCTCTCATAAGCACCCAAACCCCAGAGCTCCGTGTCCCCTCCCGGAGCCGGGGTCCCCTCAGGAGCTGTCCTGGCCTCGCTTTTCCAGTGCCCCCAGATTTCTCCCAGATGCTCCGGCACTACACCACCGACGGCTTCCGGGTCCTGGCTCTGGCCTGCAAAGCCCTGGGCACGGTGGCCACCTTCGAGGAGGCCCTGCAGCTTCCCAGGTTGGTGCCAGTGCTCCCTCTCTCCACCTCCTCACTCACTTCTTCACCCTGCAGGGAATTCATCCCTAATCCATACGGAGGGAATCTCTGGCTGGTTCCCAGATGGATTTTAGCTGCTCACACCCCTTGATGCTCTCTGCTGGTTTTGGAGGTGATGAAAGGCTCCTTGTCTCCCACCAGGGACTCCGTGGAGAGCAGCCTGAACTTCCTGGGGTTCCTGGTCATGAAGAACGTCCTGAAGCCGGAGTCTGCCCCGGTGATCCAGCTGCTGAGGAGCGCCAACATCCGCCCTGTCATGGTGACAGGTGACCCTGGGAGGGACCAGCACACGGGGCTCGGGGAGGGACAGCACACAGACAGTCCTGGAGGCGTGCAGGGCACACAGACAGTCCTGGGCAGGGGGAGAGGGCTTTCCCACCAGCAACCCCACTCCAGGAACCCCACCTCAGGAATCCCACCCCAGGAATCCCACCAGGAACCCCACCCCAGGAACCCTACTCCGGAAATCCCTCCAGGAACCCCACCAGGGATCCCACCAGGAAGCCCAGCATGACCCCAGCAGGAATCCGTGCCTGAAGCAGCTGTGGAGGCACTATGAGGATTCCTGGGTCCAGGCTCTGTGCATCCCTGCCCTCGGGATGCACGGTCCACAGTGGGGATCAGATGTGTTTTGGGTGGAAGAACTCATTGTTCTGCTGTCCATCCCCTAAATATTGCTGTGTTTGAAATCCCAAATTTCTTGCCTAATGCAGGGGGTGTAGGGACACCTCTGGGTGTTTTCCAGCCAGGAGAACAGGGGCTGAACCCACATTTCTTTGGGGCAGGGCAGGCAGGAGGTTTTGGAGGAAAGAAGAGGGAAGCAAAGCCACCACGTGGCTGCAGTGGCCAGGAGAGGGGACACGGCAGCTTGGAGCTGCTCCTCTTGGCCTGGACATCCCAAAACCTCCTTGCTGATGGCCCACGTGTCCCTGGCAGGGGACAACATGCTGACAGCCATGAACGTGGCGCGGGGGTGCCGCATGGTGGAGCCCAGGGAGGGCGTGATCTTCGTCACGGCCTCGCCGCCCGGCCACGACAAACCCGCCGCCCTCAAGTTCGTCCTGGCCGAGCACTCCCAGGGCGAGGAGCAGCCCCAGGTGAGAGCCCAGGACACCTTTTGGGAGCCCAAACTGCCCAGGCACCCTGCAGGGCTCGGTTTTTCATGCAATCACAGTATTCCAGCATGGTTTGGCTTGGAGGGACCTTAGAGCTCATCCCATCCCACGGGCATGGACACTTTCCATCCTCTCAGGGTGCTCCAAGCCCTGTCCAGCCTGGCCTTGGACACTTCCAGGGATCCAGGGCAGCCACAGCTGCTCTGAGCACCCTGTGCCAGGGTCTCCCCACCATCACAGGGAGGAATTTCTTCCCAGTATCTAAGAAATGGAATCCCTCAAATCCAGTTTTCTCCGCAGTCCTGGGAATCCCGTAATCCCAGAATGGGTTGTGTTGGAAGGGACCTTAAAGCTCATCCCATTCCATGAGCAGGGACACCTTCCACTATGCCAGGGTGCTCCAGCCTGGCCCTGAGCCCTCCCAGAGATGGGAAGGGATTTTCCAGCATCCTTGGAGGCAATTAAGGCTGTGATCCTGCTCCTCATAAAGCCATCCTTCAGGAGAGGTTCAGCTGCTCCTGCCTTTCCCTGGAGCACATCCAGGGATCCAGGCTGGAATGGCAGCTCCAAACATCTCCCCATGGGTGCTGCCAGATCCTGCTGCAGGCTTGGCTTGGATGCCGAGGTCAGCCCAGCCCTGCACCCCAGACAGCCCCACTGGGAACTGGGATTTTGGGAGCCACTCCTGCTGCTCCAGGCAGGTCCTGGCTCGGCCCGGGGGCCCCGCAGGGGTTGGGGCTGGAGCTGGAGCTGTTTCCTGGCAGGGCCTGCAGCAGCAGGATGGCTCCTCCCTCCCACCCCGGCACTGCCACTTCGCCCTCAACGGGAAATCCTTCCAGGTGGTCTGCGAGCACTTCTCCGAGCTGCTGCCCCGGGTGAGTCAGGCAGGAGCCCCTGGGGGCCTTGGGGAGCCCTCCAGTGCCACGGGGAACCCTCCAGTGCCTTGGGGAACCCTCCAGTGCCTTGGGGAGCCCTCCAGTGCCACGGGGAGCCCTCCAGTGCCACGGGGAACCCTCCGGTGCCACAGGGAACCCTCCGGTGCTCTGGGAACCTTCCAGTGCCTTGGGGAACCTTCCAGTGGGCTGGGAACCTTCCAGTGCCACTGGGAACCTTGTTCACTGCTGGACATTCCCAGTTCCCTACTGGACATTCCCAGTGCCCAGCTGGACATTCCCAGTTCCCTGCTTGCTGGACATTCCCAGTGCCCAGCTGGACATTCCCAGTTCCCTGATGGACATCCCCAGTGCCCAGCTTGGCATTCCCAGTTCCCTACTGGACATTCCCAGTTCCCTGATGGATATTCCCAGTGCCCAGCTGGGCATTCCCAGTTCCCTGATGGACATTCCCAGTGCCCAGCTGGACATTCCCAGTTCCCTGATGGATATTCCCAGTGCCCAGCTGGGCATTCCCAGTTCCCTGATGGACATTCCCAGTGCCCAGCTGGGCATTCCCAGTGCCCTGATGGACATCCCCAGTGCCCAGCTTGGCAAGTTCCACGTGGAACCGTCCAGTGCCTTTGGGAACCCTCCAGTGCCTTGGGGAGCCCTCCAGTGCCACAGGGAACCCTCCAGTGCTCTGGGAACCCTCCAGTGCCACAGGGAACCCTCCAGTGCCACAGGGAACCCTCCAGTGCCACGGGGAACCCTCCAGTGCTTTGGGGAACCTTCCAGTGCTCTGGGAGCCTTCCAGTGGGCTGGGAACTTTCCAGTGCCACTGGGAACCTTGTTCACTGCTGGACATTCCCAGTTCCCTGATGGATATTCCCAGGGCCCAGCTGGGCATTCCCGGTTCCCTGACGGACATTCCCAGTGCCCAGCTGGACATTCCCAGTTCCCTGATGGATATTCCCAGTGCCCAGCTGGGCATTCCCAGTTCCCTGATGGACATTCCCAGTGCCCAGCTGGACATTCCCAGTTCCCTGCCCCCAGGAACACTGATGGATCCTCCCGTTGGCAGATCCTGCTCCGGGCCACCGTGTTTGCCCGCATGCTGCCCGAGCAGAAGACCCAGCTGGTGTGCAGCCTGCAGGAGCTCAAGTAAGGGCCAGGGGCTGGATCCCAGGGGATGGATCCCAGGGGCTGGATCCTGGAATTATGGGATGCACGGTGTTGGGAGGCCCCTCAAACATCACCTGGTGGCACCAGTGCCATGGGCAGGGACACTTCCACCAGGTCCAGCCTGGAACAGGGCATCCACAGGTTCTCTGGGCTGAGCCAAGGCTTTTCCCATTCCCTGAGGGATGTGGGCTCCTTTTCCCCGTTCCCTAAGGAATGTGGCAACCCTTTCCTCATTCCCTGGGGAACATGGGCTCCCTTTCCCCGTTCCCTGAGGAATATGGGGTCCCTTTCCCACTCTCTGAGGAATGTGGGCTCCCTTTCCTGTATTCCCCAATGAATGTGGGCTCCTTTTCCCCTTCCCTGATGAATGTAGGCTCCCTTTCCCTGAGGAATGTGGGCTCCCTTTCCCATTCCCTGAGGAATGTGGGCTTCCTTTCCCATTCCCTGATGAATGTGGGCTCCCTTTCCTGTATTCCCCAATGAATGTGGGCTCCTTTTCCCCTTCCCTGATGAATGTAGGCTCCCTTTCCCTGATGAATGTGGGCTCCCTTTCCCATTCCCTGAGGAATGTGGGCTTCCTTTCCCATTCCCCGATGAATGTGGGCTCCCTTTCCCATTCCCCGATGAATGTGGGCTTCCTTCCCATTCCCTGATGAATGTGGGCTCCCTTTCTCATTCCCTGAGGAACGTGGGCTCCCTTTCCCATTCCCTGAGGAATGTGAGCTCCCTTTCCCATTCCCTGAGGAATGTGGGCTCCCTTTCCCATTCCCTGAGGAATGTGGGCTCCCTTTCCCATTCCCTGAGGAATGTGAGCTCCCTTTCCCATTCCCTGAGGAATGTGGGCTCCCTTTTCCGCAGCTACTGCGTGGGGATGTGCGGGGACGGTGCCAACGACTGCGGGGCGCTGCGGGCGGCCGACGTCGGCATCTCCCTGTCCGAGGCCGAGGCGTCGGTGGCCTCGCCCTTCACCTCCCGTGTGGCCACCATCGAGTGCGTGCCCAGGGTCATCCGGTGAGTGGGGGAATCCTGGGAATGCGGGAGAATCCGGTGAGTGCCGCAGATCCCTCCCGGTGACACTGTGTCCCCCCTGTGTCCCCCCCCAGGGAGGGCCGGTGCTCCTTGGTCACCTCCTTCGGGGTCTTCAAGTACATGGCCCTGTACAGCCTGGTCCAGTTCGTGTCCGTGCTCCTGCTCTACACTGTGAGTCCCACCCCAAATCCTGCTTTCTTCAGAATTCCTGGGGCACCGATGCCTTATGGGGCTGCATAAAAACAGAGGCCAGGCCAAAGTAAGGGAATAAAAAGTGGGTGTATTTACTGAAGGGCCTTCAGGTACATCTCAGGCAGACAAAGCCCCCCAGGGGCTGCACCCAGAAATGAACTGCAGGTCATGGGTTTTCACACTTATATAACTTTGATCCATTTGCATATTGGGGGTCAATCCTCCAAGTACAGCTTCAGGTAATTAAGTAATTTATCCCAAGTTTACTCCCCCAGCTCCCTTTTGTTTAATCTCTCAGGGCCTGAGGCAGTGAGGTGTCCTTGATTGCCAGGCCTGGAGAGGAATTGCTGTGTCTGCCCAAAACGGGAGAACAGCAGCTGCCACTGCGTGTGGAGCTCAGAGTTCTGCACTAAAGAACTTCAGGATCACAAATACATGGAAAATACAAAAGCTCAGACCCTGGGTCTGAGCCTGTCCCTTCCCTTCTGCGCAGATCAACACCAACCTGAGTGATTTCCAGTTCCTGTTCTTCGACCTGGTGATCACCACCACGGTGGCCGTGCTGATGGGGCGCACGGGGCCGGCGCCGGCGCTGGGCGTGCGGCGGCCGCAGGGGGCCCTGATCAGCGGGCTGGTGCTGGGCAGCCTCCTGCTGCAGACAGCCCTGCTCATCACCGTGCAGGTCCTCAGCTACTTCATCACCATCTCACAGAGCTGGTGAGGGCCCCAAATCCGGGAATTGTGGGATTCAGTGTTGGAAAAGGTCATTGAGTCCAACTGCCAGCCCCTGTTTGCCACTAAGCCCCAAGTGCCAGGGCCATGGGGTTTTTGGACACTTCCAGGGATGGTGATCCCACCCTCCCCTGGACAGGCTGTTCCAGTGCTTTGCAGCCCTTCCCATGAGGAAGTCTTTCCCAATATCCCACCTGAACTTGCCCTGGCTTCCTGAGGGTTGGTGATGGGGACAGCACCGAGGTTGTGGCAGAGCCCAGGGTTTGTTCTGGGATTTGGGATCTGGCAGCAGACAGGGAACCATGGAATGCCCTCAGCTGGAAGGGATCATCCAGTCAAACCCCTGGCCCTGCCCAGACACCTCAACAATCCCAGCCTGTCCAGACACTCTTGGAGCTCTGGCAGCCCCGGGGCCAGGACCATTCCCTGGGGAGCCTGGGCAGTGCCCAGCACCCTCTGGGGAAGAGCCTTTCCTGATCTCCAACCCAAACCCCCCTGGCCCAGCTCCCATTCCCAAGGGATCTATCGCTGCTCCCAAAGCAGAGGTTGGAGCTGCCCCTGCTCCTCCCAAAGTTGTAACTGCTGGAGAACAAGGGGTGGTGTCCAGCCCCCCTTGGCCTCTCTGCTGACCCTGCCCCTGGCCCAGGTACGTGCCCCTGAACAGCACGGTGACAGCGCCCCAGAACCTGCCCAACTACGAGAACACCGTCCTGTTCTGCGTCACCGGCTTCCAGTACCTCATCCTGGCCGTGGCCATGTCCAAGGGCTACCCCTTCCGGGAGCCGCTCTACACCAACGGTGAGGACACGCGACAGCAGGGGAGCACCCACGGGACACGCAGGGGACATCCATGGGACACTCACTGGGACACCCATGGGACACCCACGGGGGCATCCACAGGGACATCCATGAGGACACCCATGGGGACACCCATGGGACACTCACAGGGGCACCCACAGGGCACCCATGGGGACACCTATGGGGACACGAAGAGCCACTCGGGACACGCAGGGGACATCCATGGGACACTCACTGGGACACCCATGGGACACCCACGGGGGCATCCACAGGGACATCCATGAGGACACCCATGGGGACACCCATGGGACACTCACAGGGGCACCCACAGGGCACCCATGGGGACACCTATGGGGCACTCACAGGACACCCACAGGGCACCCATGGGACACTCAGGACACCCACGGGACACTCACAGGACACCCATGGGGACACGAAGAGCCACCGGCCCTCCCTCCCCTGCCCCTCACCCCACCCCTCTCGCCCCCAGTGCTCTTCCTGCTCGTCCTCATCCTGCTCTTCGGCCTGATGATCTGGCTGACCCTGTACCCGCTGGGCTTCCCCAAGTCCCTGCTGAAGCTCCAGCGCATCGAGGATTTCAATTTCAAGCTGCTGCTCTTGGGCATCGCCGCCCTCAATTTCTTCGCTGCCTTCGTGCTGGAGGTGGGTCGGGGGGGCTTTGGGATGGGGCATCCCCCTGGAGTGTCCCCAGGTGGGCACGGGGCTCTCCTGTCCCCCTCAACCCCATTTCCCTCCTGCTCTGACCCCAGACCGCCTTGGATCACGGCTTGCTCGGCTGCTTCCGAAGGCTGCGCCGGAAAAAAGCCTCCAAGAAGCTTTTCAAGAGACTGGAGAAGGAGCTGAGCCAGCAGCAGCCCGCCTGGCCACCCCTGGACCAGCCCCTGTTTGCCACACCCAGGATGTCCCTGGCCGTGAGATAGCAGTGCCAGCCATGCCTCTGCCCCTGCCCTTGGACATTTCCTTAATTTATTTATCCCGGAAAAAGCAGGGATGTGGCAGGTGGGATCCCTCAGCATTGCAGATGGGAATCCCATGGCCACAGTGATCCCGTGGGCACACTGATCCCATGGCCACAATGAGTCCATGGCCACACTGATTCCCTGGCCATACTGATCTCTGATCCCATGGCCCACTGATCCCTTGGCCCACTGATCTCTTGGCCATGCTGATCTCATGGCCACACTGATCCCTTGGCCATGCTGATCTCATGGCCATGCTGATCCCATGGCCACCCTGATCCCATGACCACCCTAATCCCATGGCCATGTTGATCCCACAGCCACGCTGATCCCACAGCCACACTGATGCCATGGCCATGGTGATCCCATGGCCATGGTGGTCACATGGCCACAATGATCCCTTGGCCACACAGATCCCTTAGCCATGCTGAGCCCATGGCCACCCTGATCCCATGACCACCCTAATCCCATGGCCACACTGATCCCACGGCCACGCTGATCCCACAGCCACGCTGAGCCCATGGCCATGCTGATCCCTTGGGCACACTGATCCCATGGCCACACTGATCCCATGGCCACACTGAGCCCGCAGCCATGCTGATCCCATGTCCATAGTGATCACATGGTCACACTGAGCCCGTGGCCACACTGATCCTGTGGCCATGCTGATCCCATGGCCACCCTGATCCCATGGCCATGCTGATCCCATGGCCATGCTGATCCCATGGCTATGCTGATCCCATGGCCACCCTGATCCCATGGCCACCCTGATCCCATGGCCATGCTGATCCCATGGCTGCAGCCCAGAGGAGCAGGAGGTGGAGGAGGAATGGACAAGAAAATCCAGAGGAGGAGGAGGATCCAGCATGGCTCTTCCTGCAGGATTCCCCCACTCCCACACTGGCCACCAGGGCCACTTGGGCCTCTCATGGCCTGCCCAGGCTGCCAGGAAGGAGGTCCCTGATGTCCCCAGTGCCCCAGCTGTGTCACTGTGAAGCCCCAGTCCCCTCTAGATGTGTAGGGAGTTTACAGTCCCCGTTCCCAGCTTGCCGAGGCTGCTGCTCCATCCCCAGCACCTGGGCCCCTTCTGCGCTTGGAATGCTCGGGCAGAGCACCTCTGCTTGGGGATGGGACCTCTGTAGCATTACAGACCCCACAAATTCTCTATTTTTTAACTCTTCCCCGTCGGGAAGGCAACGGCGCCGCTCGCGGGCTCCAGACGGGGCTGTCACGGGTCTTGTCCAATAAATTAACACTTATTTTCTTGGCTGCTGGTCCGTGCTGCCCGCTGGGGGTGGATTTGGGATGGCACGGGTGAGTATCCGTGGAGCAGGAGGAGGTTTCGGGGTCACCTCGTTCCCAGGCAGGCTGGGAAACGCTCAATGCTCGAAAGCAGGGCCTGGAGCCAGGGATGACACCGCTGGGATTCCTGCAGCCCAAACTGGGCTGAACAACCTCTCTCCAGCTGGAATTTCCTAGAAAATAACAATAATCGCTGGAGAAGCCCAGGTGTCCTGGCTGAGACTCCGAAACCTCGCTCCTTCCACCGAGGAGCAGCCGGCGCCGCATCCCGCAGGGAAGGAGCAGCTCCCGGAGGGTCTGGGAGAAAAACCCTCCCGGGGTTTTCCAGCTGCCTCCCAGGATCCCGGGCTGCTTCCTGCAGGGCTTCGCTTCCATGGAAAAATCTGAACCCCCTCCGAGCGCCGGCGGCGCCTCTCCGCCCTGGGGAGCTGGGATTAGCTCAGGAAATGAGGCACAAGCAGAGGTAAGAGGTTTCCTGCAGGCCCGGCCAAGGCTGCGGTTGTTAACCCAGGCTTCCCGAGCCTGGAAACGCTCCCCGCTGCAGCCCTCGCAGCTCTGCTCGTCCCTGGCGGCATCCGAAGCGGAGGCACCGGGAGCCGCTTCCCTCGGGATTTCCGAGCGCCCCGGGCTGTTTGGCTTGGATGGGCCGGGAGGGTGTTCCCAGCCCCGGGGGATGGCAAACTTCATTTAATCATTGACAGGCAGCTCCTGCCCCCGGATGGAGCTGAACAGGGCCGGGATGAGGATAATGCTGCGGCTGGGGGCGGCAGGAGCTCGGTGGGAGCAGCTGAGGTGGTTTTGGGGTCCTTTGGGTGGTTTTAGCCATCCTTCAGCCTGGAAATTGTGGTGTTTTGGGGTCCTTTGGGTGGTTTTACCCATCCTTCAGCCTGGAAATTGAGGTGTTTTGGGGTCCTTTTTGGGGTTTTACCCATTCCTCAGCCTGGAAATTGAGGTGGTTTTGATGTCCTTTGGGTGGTTTTACCCATTTCTCAGCCTGGAAATTGTGGTGTTTTGGGGTCCTTTGGGTGGTTTTACCCATTCCTCAGCCTGGAAATTGAGGTGGTTTTGATGTCCTTTGGGTGGTTTTACCCATTTCTCAGCCTGGAAATTGAGGTTGTTTTGGGGTCCTTTTTGGGGTTTTACCCATTCCTCAACCTGGCAGCTGAGGCGTTTTGGGATTTTTTGGGTGGTTTTATCCATCATTCAGCATGGAAAACCAGAGAGGAGATGAGACCACCTTCCAGCCCCATCTGCCTCTCATCTTGCTCTGAAAATCCCTTTTTTCCTGCATTTTGCAGCTCTCAGAGCCTGGCCTGGTGCACAACCCAGCGTGGGCTGCTGGGAATCCAATCCCACGGGAGAAAATCTCCTCTGCTCCCCCCCATTCCCGTCTCCAGAGACCTCCCCCCTCCACCCCAGCGCCCTCCCTCCGCTCCTTTGGGGTTTTCACCCCAAACCTGCAGAATTCACCCCCAGCTCTGGCTCTGTGTCCCTCGGGGGTTTCGGGATCATCCCGATCCCGGCGGGATCCTCCTCCAGGAGGGGGGAAAGGGGCCCCACGCCGGCACCGGGGGCAGCAGAGCCTCCGGCAGCCCCGGCCTGGCTGGGGACAGCGGGGTTTGGGTGATTTTTGGGTCCTTTTCCCGCCCTGTCCCGGGATAAATCCCGCGTGGCTGCAGCATCCTCGCTGCTGGGGGGGGATCGGAATCCACCCCTGGATCGGGAGGGGTGCTGTGATCCCAGATTTTGGGGGTGCAGTGATTTTTTTCTCAAGAGCTGACGAGGTAGGAGAAAAATCCCCGGAGCTGCTCCTTCCACCCCTCCCTCCCTGCAGCCCCACAAACCCCGCGCGGGTCCTCCCCCTCCTCGCTTTTCCACGGGTTTAAAACTCATCCCGCTTGAAAAAAAACCCCAAAACCAACAATGCACCCCGTCCCCGGCGCCCCGGCAGCGGCGCGTTCTCACGGACGGCGATTTGGGGTTGTTTGTGGGTTTTCCCGGCTTTCCCCTCCCAGGCGGCGCGGGAGGAGGAAGGGGCCGGCTCAGGTGTGGCTTTAGGACCCAGCGGATCCCCCGTGCTGGAGGTAGGAGGTTTTTTGGGTTTTTTTTGTTTTTTCTGACTCTCATTTCAAGAGTTTTGGGGAAGCAGAGAGAGGAGACCGAGGGCAGAGCCGGCACTCACTGGTAAGGACCAGGCGAGGGGAACCCCCCCAGTTCCCAGGAATTCCCGGGGACCCCCCGAGCAGCAAACGGGGCTGAACCCCCATTTTGGGGACTTTGTGAAATCGCCTTAAAACTCCATCGGTTAAGAGCTTGGAAAAGTTGTTTTCAGCTTTTGAACCTCACAAAGCCAAATCCCCGTGATTTTTGGGGTGCTGAAGGCCCC